CCCCCCCCCATACACACATACCTAAAAGTTGGAAGCTTCATTGTAAATTCTAAAGATTTAAGAAGACAAAAACCTCCTCCTAGCAGAATCTCTACTTTTTGCCTCTGAATGGTATTATAGATAAGGATCTATAAACCTAATAAATATTAAATCTCTAGTCCTCTGACAGAATGTAAATGGTCTAAGAATTGTGCATCAAACTTTGGTTGTTTAGCCTGAAACTGAAGAGCTCACTGATGGGTGGTCTAAGTCTAGCTCTTCCTGCGTGTCTATTGATTACACGAGAAGAGCTAACTTTCAGTCCGCAGTTATCTTTCAGCCAGTATGCTTCATTACTAAGAACTTGGGAACATTATCATTTTAATCGTGGAGATAGCATTGTACTGGATGACACTATGATGTTTCTTCTATAACTTCTTAATGTTTAGCCACTATGGAGGGCCTCCGCTGTGCTAGATTTTTTACCTGGTAGTGTATCTTTAACATATCAGTAGACTACATGCAAATGTCAGTTGCAAATAAGGCTTTGTGATAGTTACATTCACTTGTTTATTTCCTCGACAGCTGTGCTTTATGGAAGCCAGGCACTGTTTATCTGCTGCTAATGTTATTTTTGGTCAAATTGGAAAGATCCCAGCCACAGAAGAGAGTAAGTTTATAAATGGATGTTTCATTATATAGATTTCTTAAAAAAATAATAAATTTCAATTTTATTTTATTTTTAGGGAATACAAAATAGTAATAGGAAAAAAAAATTAGAAACAATACAAGATTTCACTAAACAAAGTAATAGGAATTCAACCATGGTTGCTGTATTACATGATGGTATCTTCAGATTAGTTATTCAGATTACCAGATATAAATGTGTGATATTTAATTTAAAAAAAGAAAAACTTCATTATTATTTTAAATAATAAAAAAGTTGCAAGAACGAAAGAAAGAACTGCCATATAACTTAGCTTAGTGTTCATATTTGTGTAATTTGTGATCACATTTTATTTCTTTCTGAACCTTTTGAGAGAAGATTGTCTAGGTAGGCTCCTTTATGGCGTAATACTTCATGTGCATACCCCGAGCGCAAGACTATCTCTCTACATAATCAAAAAACAGCACATTCAGGAACTGCAACATTTCTTCCAGTTCTGGATTAATTCAAGATTGCCTGTTGTATTTATTTGTTGCATCTCTGGGTTTTTTGGTCACCTGGAACAGTTCTTCAGCTTTTTTCTCTTTCACCACAAATGTTTTTGAAGAATACAGGCCAGTTATTCTATAGAATTTATCAAGTAGGATTTGTATGATGCTTCCTTTTGCCAAGATTGAAATTATGTATTTTTTATTAGAATACTACACACATAAATGTAGTATGTTTTCATCACAGTGGACTTTGTTGTTTGTCTGTTTGCTGTGCTGGTAACCAAACCCGGAAACCCACACGTGCTAGGCAAGTGCTGTAGCACTGAGCTACACCCCCTAGTCACCATGATAGTATTTTCTTTAGTCTTAAAAGAAATCAAGGTTAACACACATTTGAGGCATTTAACAGGTTTTGTATTATATATACCATTTTCTTCATCCTTTAATTGTGTAATTCACTGTTGAGCATTCCAACCTAAAAGACTTTTGAACCATCTTTTTTTGTGTGTGTTTTATTTTGAGACAGGATCTTACTATGTGGTTTAGGCTGGCCTCAAACTCGTGGAGATCCTCCTGCCTCAGCTTCCCGAGTGCTAGGATTGCAGATGTGCAGTGCTATGCCTAGAGTCAAGATGCAAATTTTAATCCAACGAAGGCAATTTAGTGGCAAAGTGAGACCCTGTCTCAAAATAAAAGGGCTAGGAATGTATCCTAGTGCAGAAACCCTATGTTCAGTCCCCAGTACTGCAAATAAACAAAGGAATGGTATCTATCTTAAAAGCTAATAAAAGCAAGCCCAGCATTAGGAGGCTGAGGCAGGAGGATTGTTACAAGTTCCAGGCTATCCTGGGCTACATGGTGAGCTCAGGGCCAACCTGAACTGCAAAGTAAGACCCTGCCTCAAAAAGATAGATAGATAGATAGATAGATAGATAGATAGATAGATAGATAGATAGATGCAAAATCACTCTGAATTATCATATTTTTATTTTTCAAAATGGAAAGCTCTGGCAGTTGGAGGTACTACTAAGTAAAAGATCATTTGCCAGGGGCTGGCCAAATAGCTCAGCAGATTAAAGCATCTGCTTAGGCAGGCCCAGCGGCTGGGATTCTTGATCCCCAGAGTATTGTGCTGGTGCCAGCCCTGCCCCAGGGGTGCACTGAGAAGTTGATTGAGACTGGGCTGGGCGTGGTAGCGTGTGCCTAAAATCCCAGCTTTTTTTTTTTTTTTTGCGGAACTGGCGATTGAACTCAGACCCTTGAGCTTGCCAGGCAGGCGCTTATTCTACTGAGCCATCTCCCCAGCTCTTGGGAGGCTGAACAGAGGCGGATCACTGAGTCCAATCTACATGGTGAAACCCTGTAGATGCTGTCTTAACTATTAAAAAAAAAAAAAAAATCATTTGCCTCGCATATACAGATCTGGCATAAATTCTCCAGGATTAACTGAGGGAGGGAGGGAAGAGAGAGAGCAGTAGAGCTGAGGAGAAAGACAGGATGGTTTCTGTGAGCATTCTCAAATAGTGTTAATTAGAAAATTTGTTGAAAATAATTTAACATTTAAAGTTGTGGAGGGGGCCAGGGAGATAGCTCAGTTGAATAAGTGACTGTTGGCACATGCAGGGTCCTGAGTTCAATCCCTGGTACCACCAAAAAAAAAAAAAAAAATCAAGTAAAGTTGTGGAAACACTTTGACCTAGTAAATTTCATTTCTAGAATCTCTCCTTAAGAGGTAGTCCACAGTCCAGGCCAATTTGTGTACTTAAGAGTTGTTACAGTCAGTACTTAGAGTCTCAGCGCTTAGAGTTTATCATAGTAAAGAATGAGAAACAGCCCCCGTACTAAAAGAATGGGAGAAGGATGAAATATTGAATTGTACAAAATGCTTCACTTAATAAGGCATGATAATGATATAGACAAAGTGTTAGTGGTGAACACATGAAGAAAAAGTTATGTTCACAATCAAATACACATTGTTACCTTAATTTTTACTTATAGATAAAAATTTAAAATACGGAAAACCAATAGCAGCGAGTACCTCCATGTACTAGGATCTTGGGTGGGTTCCGCCATCCCATTTCAGTGAATGTTACTTTTATGATCATTGATTGTAATCAGTGATATTAAAGTGATTTATAAGCAGTAAAATTTAAAAAAGAACATAGAGGGGCCGGGGAGATAGCTCAGTAGAATAAGCGCTTGCCTGGCAAGTGCAAGGCCCTGAGTTCAATTCCCGGTTCTGCCAAAAAATAAAATAAAAAAGAACATAGAATATGTAGAAAATTATACCTGTAACCATTAACTTGGGCAAATCGTATGTATGATTTTAGCTCCTGAGGCTGAAGGAGACGTGCCCGAGCTTTATCATCAGAGGAAAGGGGAGATCGCACGGTGCTGGATCAAGTACTGCCTGACGCTCCTGCAGAACGCCGAGCTGTCCATGCAGGTGGTGAACGCTAGCGTTGCCTTTTTCTGTCTTCATTGAGCATCGTGTGAGCCATTGTGCTCGGTGGGGCTGGGCTTCCTGGCACCCTCTGAATGCACTCCTGTTTCTTTCTCTCAACAGCTGTCTTAAATGTCACCTCTTCCTTGCAGCCTTTGCTTTGGTTAGAATCTTAGGTTTCTTTTTGTTTGTTTTTAAGGCAGTGTCTTGCCGTGTAGTGCAGCTGGTCTGGATTCGCTGAGTAGCCCAGGCTGGCCTCATACTCGCAGTGAGCCCCGTGCCTCAGCCTCTCATGGCTGGGATCGCAGGTTTACGCTGCCGAACCCGGCTTCCTACATGAGCTCCATGTGCCCGTGTCCACAGTGCATATGCCAGCCTGAGCTCCTAGAGAAGTGGCTCTGCCTCAGGCTCATTATATCGTCATCTCTGGGCACAGTAGTTCCTCAAAATATTAATGAATATATTTGGAGGTGGTGATACTTGGGGCTGAACCTAGAGCCTTTGCACATATCTTAATTCCTTTTCTTCCCCATCCTCCCCATCCCCTCCTTACAAAAGCTTTCAATTTTTTACTTCCGTTCTTTATTTTTTTTTTTCTGTTCTCCTTCCTTGTCTCCCCCACCCCTCCTCCTTTGTTCCCCTTCCCATTTGAACTTTGAGACAGGGCCTCACTAGGTGTCCCAGTCTAGGCTTGAAGTTATGATCCTTCTGCCTCAGCTTCCCAGGATATAGGGATTACTATTTAGTTTGATTGATTGATTGATTGATTGATTGAGATGGTCACAGAGTGTAGTTCAGGCTGACCTTGAACTCACTGTGACCCTCTGCTGACCACACCTGCAGTGCTAGGGATCAGACCGGAGGCATTCTGCCAGTGAACTGTATTTTCCCAGTGCTGTCTGCTTATTTTGAGACAGCGCCTCATTAAATTCTACAGGTGAAATTGAACTTGTGTTCCTCCTGCCTCGGCCTCCTTTGGTGTTGGAATTACAGCACAGGTTTGTGCTGCTACCACTGCATGTAATTCTTTATCAACTACAGATGATAATTTCTTTTTTTTTTTTTCAGATGATAATTTGTTAAGTTACATAGGACTTTTTTTTTGCCCCTAAGTAATTTAAATCGTTTTTGTGTTAATCCACTTGAATTCTTATTCTTTTATTTCCTTTTACACTAAGCAGTTTGAAGGAAGGAATTCTTACTAATCTTTATATACCTTGTAGTGTTATCTTACAGATTGATAAAACTGAAAAAGATAAACTTCAGAAATAGCCATGCAACAGTTCAAGTACAGAAGCAGAGGTGTTTGCAGCATGGAGTATGAGCTCTGCAGACTTCAGCTGCTCTTTAACTGTTGGATTCAGGTCTCTCACTGTCCTTACAAGTAGAGTGGAGATAACAACACTGTCTGCATAACAACAGTGTGTACCTGACACTTTTAGGCCAGTGTCACCAGGAGGTGTAAAGATCTCAGAAAGTAACTGAGACAGCCTGGCTCAAGTGGACGGTGCATACCTGTAATCCCAGGTGGAGGCAGGATTGCTAGGAGTTTGAAGGCAGCCTGGGCTATATAACGAGACTCTATCTCAAAAATTAGGGCTGAGGAGATAGCTCAGTGGCATAAGTACTGCCTGCTAAGTGCAAGGTCCTAAGTTTGATCCTCGGTACTGAAAAAAAAAAAAAAAGAAAAAAAAGTATCAGAGACACACTAAATCTCACATTGTAACTCCATTATTATTACTAATCTCACTGAAGCCTCATTTCTAACCCCTAAGGAGAAAAAGAAAATAAATTGTTTAGACATAATACAGGCAAGATGCATAAAAAACTTTACTGGGGTAATTAGTGTGTGTGTGTGTGTGTGTGTGTGTGTGTGTGTGTGTGTGGTTTTTTTTCCGGAACCAGGGATTGAACTCAGGCCCTTGCGCTTGCCAGGGAAGCATTTATTCTACTGAACCATCTCCCCGGCCCCTTATGAGTGTGGTTTTTTTCTGGGTGTGTTATAATACAGAAACTTTTTCTAGTAAATAAGAACTTGGGGAGGGGGCTTAGTGGTTGAGCTCTCCCTTACATGCTTAGGTCCTGGGCTGGATTTCAGTCACCACAAAAACAACAACAACAAGAAAAGGAAAGATTAAAAAAAAACAAACAAACAAACAAAAAAAAAACAGAAACCATGCATCCTGTGATGCTACTGAGAAAAGAAAAGTAAATGAGCAAATACACCTAAAGTCCCAGAGGCATAGGTCTTCACAAGGTAAGGTCATTTTAGAAGGAAAAAGTAAGGATAAGATGTGTCAGGGGAAAAAAAGGAAATAGGGAGAAGAACTTGGGGCCTGGAGGTCCGGAGAATTGGAGCTGGGAAGACCAGGCAGCCAGGAAGACCTGGGCAGGTGAGGAAGCAGATAGGAAGGGGAGGGTGCAGGGACTGAGAGCAGGAGCGTGGGCAGGCGAGAAAGGCCCTGGGAGCCTGGAGATGCGACGCACGGGCTTCACAGAGGCACGCTCAGGCAGAACGCCCACAGCACAACCCGCACTCTCCATTAGTTGCTGTTTCCAGCTGGTGACAAGAACCTTATTTGATTATTTGAAACTTAAATACTAAAGTATTTAAACTATTAAATTACTCAGATTTTGGTTAAATTGATTTTTTTTTTTTCGTAACAGGAATTGGACTCAGGACCTTGCACTTGCCAGGCAGGTGCGATGTCACTGGGTTGTATCACCAGCCCTTTTACTGATTTTTTAAAGAACTTTCATCCTTTGGGTATATATGTATTTATCAAGAAGCTTCTTTCAGTTTAGGCTTTAAAATATACCCCAGACTGGGTGTGGTAGTACATATCTGTAATCTCAGAATTTGAGAAACTAAAGCAGGAGAATTGTGAGTTCAAGACCAGCCTGGGTCACCAAGTGAGCTCAAGGCCAGCCTGAGTTGCATGCATAGTGAGACCCTGTCTCAAAAAGACAAAAATAAATAAATTAAAATAAAATATACCCCAGTTTATTCAGTTAAGCATTTTCACACGCCAACTCTGCGCTACTCATTGTCCAAGGTTCAAGGGTTACCATGATGAACAAACATAGACGTCATCTTGGCTGAGCACAGCAGTGTACTCCTGTAATCCCAGCACTCTGGCAGGCTGAGGCAGGAGGATGACAGTTTTGAGCCCAGCCTGGGCTACATAGCTTAAGGCCAGATGAAATATGTAACAAAAGAAGAAGGAAAAAAGAATAACTTAAGTAAACTTGAGTTCCCCAGAGAGGACAAATTGTGTGTGTGTGTGTGTGTGTGTGTGTGTGTGTGTGTGTGCCTGTGTTTATATATTTTACTTTTTCAAAATTTTTCACATTTCCTGAATTTTTATTTTATTTATTTATTTATTCTTATCTATTTAGTACAGGGTCTACAGAGATCTGCACAGTGAGACCCTGTAAACCCTGTACTAAATAGATAAAATAGTGATCTCCTGTTTTTACTTCCCAAGCTCTGGGATTACAGCATGGGTCACCATGCCCAGTCTCAATTGCCGTCTCAGTGTGCCCCGGGGGTGGGGCTGGCAGGGCATGCTGGGGATGGGACCCCAGTCCCTGCACCTGCCTAAGCAGGCATTTTAACCCACTAAGCTGTCTGGTTGGCCCTTCTTGAATTTTTAATATAATTGGAAGAAAAAAGATTTCAAAGGTATTCAGATTATAGTCCCTCCAGCAGACCAAGGGTCTGACTCAGTGGGAGAGCACTTGGCAAATGTGCTTCAGATCCTGGACATGGTCCTTGGCACTGGAGAAGAGGTTAGAACTTTGCTCAGCTGGCCTGAAAGTAAGCATTCTGCTCACTAAAGAGTTTTATTCGACAGCAGGAGCTAAGTGTCCTGCTTGATCCCCTGTGTTTTTCTTTCAGGACAACATAGGGGAGCTGGATCTTGACAAACAGTCTGAACTTAGAGCTTTAAGGAAAAAAGAACTGGAAGAGGAAGAAAGCATCAGGAAAAAAGCCATGCAGTTTGGATCCGGGGAGCTCTGTGATGCCATCTCTGCAGTAGAAGAGAAAGTGAGATACTTGAGGCCTTTAGATTTTGAAGAAGCCAGGGAACTTTTCCTGCTGGGTCAGCACTATGTCTCTGAGGCCAAGGAGTTCTTCCAGATTGATGGGTATGTCACTGACCACATCGAAGTTGTCCAGGACCACAGCTCGCTGTTCAAGGTGCTCACCTTCTTTGAAACTGATATGGAGAGACGGTGCAAGATGCATAAGCGTAGAATAGCCATGCTAGAACCCCTCACTGCAGACCTGAATCCACAGTACTATCTCCTGGTCAACAGACAGATTCAGTTTGAGATTGCACATGCTTACTATGACATGATGGATTTGAAGGTTGCTATTGCTGACAAGCTCAGGGACCCAGATTCACACATTGTAAAGAAAATTAATAACCTTAATAAGTCAGC